CTATCTCAGCATTCTGATTGGGATGTTAAACACAGCCTTTCATGTAGACATTGAAGGCAGTGTTTGGTAATGTGCATTATATCGTAATTGTAACTGTGTCTCAGGGAGGCGTGAAGGCCGTGGTGTACACTGATGTGCTACAAACACTGATCATGTTCGGCGGGGTTCTGTTGGTGGTCATCATCTGCTGCGTTGACATGGGAGGTATTGCCAACGTCTGGTCCATCGCTGACCGTGGAGGTCGTATTCAGTTTTTTAAGTGAGTGAAAGAACGCGATTTTTTTTTCAGAATTTCGGATCACTTTCTCATTATAACACATTATTACTCACATTGGTAATAAAGCACTTCATTTACCTCATTATTAGTTTCAGCACGAGTCCCTTCGACCGCCACACCTTCTGGTCTACCGTGGTGCATGGGTTCTACGTCATGGTCTCTGGAGTTGGCATCAACCAAACCACTTATCAGAGGTTTGCCTCCGTCAGTACGCTTCGGATATCGCAATGGTAATTTTAAACAATAAATATCATATAACTGTCATACATTTGAATACGAATAGGGTAAATGTATAACTCCAGGATAAGTCGTAATGGACGACTGATTTTGAATAAACAAAAGATTGGACGAAGATTCGAACTATAGTCCATACATGCTGGAGACCATTGAGCCACAGACATTACAAGTAGAATGAGTTCACAACCAGTGCTTCTGTGACTTGGCTGAATGCTGTGACGCTGCTGACTCATCCCATACCACAAAGAAGCTTTACTGGTACAGATTTATTTTTATATCCTTCAAGGGCACATAGTATCTAATCTCAAGATAAGTCAGAATGGACCACTGTTCGAATCCATAACCCATATTTTATTCATTCTTAGTCAACTATTATGACCTTGAGTTATGTGAAAATAGATATACTGTACCAGGAAGGCTTCTGATGGTGTGGGATGAGACAGTAGGGTCACAGATGGTAGCGTCACAGAAGCGCTAGTTGTAACATCATTGTATTTGTAACTTCTGTGGCTGAATGGTACATCATTGGACTTGCTACATGCATGGAACAGGGTTTTCGAATCCGTCCTTTAATTCTGTTTTTTTTTACATAATAATTAGTTTTAAAAGGATAGGGAACCTCGAAATCACTTTCTATAAAACTGTCACAGGATCGACGGAAAACAGGTGCCCAAAGCTGTGCATCAGATGCAAGTTTTTTTACGTGTTTGCTTTTTTCGTAAGGTAAAAAAATAAATAGTAAAAAAAAACTAAAAGGGTCTCTATGTGTTTTGTTTAAAAGAAATATTTAGAGAATTAGGAAAAAAATTAAGTTGTATAAGGTGTTTGCTGCGTCAAAAACTAAAAATTATCCATGTTGTTTTTATAATCTAAAAGTATTGCTGTGTGTTGGATGGTCGGTGCGCAAACGAAAAAGATATGGGAAGACAAAAATTAAAAATAATATGATAAAGGTTTTAAAACCGTAAATAGAAGTCACTTTTCCTAAAAAAAAAAAATAAAAAAAAAAAAAAAAAGATAAAAAATCTTATATAAATAACAAAAATAACAGGACAAATTTGAAGGTCTGTAAGACTTTCTCTTTTGATATATAAATGTGGCACTGCTGTTTACAAGCCAAGGGCACAAAAAATACAGCACAGGTTCTTAAAGGCATTAAAACCTGGCACTTTTTGGATTCAGGATGCAAAAAATTTGGTGACAGGCCCGAGTCATGTCCAAGTCACAAATGCATATCAAGTTAGCTATTTTATGCAAGTAATTTTCAATAACTAGTTTGGAGCCCAACTTGTCTAGACTAGACGAGAGAAGACCCTGGGAGGGGATGATGGAAAGAGGAAGAATAGGTTGGTGAGAGGAAAAGTGATTGTAACAGGTTGTAGTGGAGCAGTATCATGATGGGCTACATCGTTAAAGGTCCAGACCTTACTTAATCCAGTAAAATAAGAACTAGAGAATATTGAGAAACTAACAGTAACATGAGCGACGAGTAAAAGCTAATAAAGCTGTATATAATGTCAATGGGAGATAAAGGGTCAAGAGCTTGAGGTCGACCCTAGCAACCACAACTCACTGAATACAGCTTAAAAAATATTCATACCCGCTGTCTTAGTGTCTATACTTCCTGGTATACCTTTACATTTATCTTTGAGGAGTTCTGAAAGTTTTTCTACTCGTCTAAAACAAAATTTTCTAGACAGAGCCACTAATAAAAAAGTGATTATTTGGGTTTTTATCACTGTTGTGGGATTAAAGAAAATGAAAGGAAACAAATAGGGGAATCAGAGACCCTTGAGACACTGAAACGATTTGCAGTCTCCTGAAGCCCCAAATAAGAAAACATCATCATTTGGGTTTAAAAAAAGGGCAAAAATAAGACGGGTCCTTTAAAAACCTGATTAAGGGAATTATTCATAGCGTTATCACAACATTCATACAAGCAGGGACGTGAGCCCACACAAAATAAAGCAATACAAAAACCCGAAAATTAAAGGTTTATACTAGTTTTTGTCAAATGGTAATTATGTATCCTGTGTTTTTTTTTATTAATTCAGATATTTACATTTGCTCCCGGTTTTTAATATCTGTGAAAACGTACAAACTGGACCTCAAGATGTTACTGAATGGAAAATAGAAGAGTAGGATTACAAATTTTTAAAAAACAAATTTTTGATAATTTAGGCAAAGAATGTTTTCCAGGGAAGGGAAAAAGACGCCTGGGGAGCGGGCACAAATACATCCAAAAACTATTCTAAAATCTGGACCCAGCAAAAGTTTGTGGAATGAAAAAAGTTAACAAATTTCAAAAAAAATGCGAAAGAAACAGATACAGCATTTAAAAAAAAACATAAGACGGGGGCGAATTTTTAGAACTCGGGTAAAAAATCAAATAGTTAAAAACACACAATATCCCAAAATTATCAAGATATTCTGTTTTGCGTTTTTCTTACTGTTCCGGTGGGGCTGTACTTTTGTGGATAGTCTTCTACTTTTCTGGGCTTGTCGCTTTCGCAAACTATAGTGACTGTGACCCCTTGCATCAGGCAAATCGAAAAGTCTGACCATTTATCCGTTCAGTGACGACAAGTTGAGACCGACAGGCTGGCCGGCATCTCGTTGCGGGGTGTTGGAGGGTTTTAGGGAGGTCCTCACGGCGTTCTCAGATAGGTTCATGGTGTGTATGGTGGGTTTTCGGTAGGGTCCCCATGGGTGTAAAGGTGGGGTTCTCGGTAGGTCTCATGGTGTGTATGGAGTGTTTCAGGGAGGTCCTCATGGGGTGTTGGAGGGTTCTAAGGAGGTCCTCACTGGGGGTATGAGGTGTTCTCAAAGGGGGGCTCCCCAACATTGTAAACATCACGCTTCCTGTCCTTTTTTTCCCATCTTCACCAAATGAAAATGTGTCCCCCTTTTTCTTTAATTACCCAATTCAAAGATATTTTTCCCAAAAGGTTTGCATAGTTTTTTTTTAACTTTAAAGTAGTTTTTCACTTTCCTTGCATGGGGGTTTACAGCATAACAAAAATATTTTTTTATCTTTAAATACACAAAGACCATCCTAAAATAGATATAATTGGGTAACCCCCACAAGAAGAGAGGAGCTTCGAAGACTTTTTGGTCCGCTTTGACGGAAACGTCGAAGTCGGACCGAAACGTCGTGTAACTCCTTTCCTATGGAGGTTATTTTGTATTGTTGCAGGGCACGGAACTGTGCCCTTTTGTTCTTTCCTGGTAATATTTCATAATTTTGACTTTCCCGATAACTCATTTACATGTTTTTATGTAATTGTATTTATTTTACACCTTTGACTATCCTTTTCGTCATTTTTAAAAATTTTAAACACAAAATTTAAATTTATGATAAATTTTTAAATCAAATTCGTATTTTTTTCGTGATTTTCCCGACTGAATTTTAATTTAATTATTTAAAATTGCTTTTAAAAAAAAAAATCCCTTTAATTGAAGTTATTTTACACATTACTCTTTGTAGGAAAGTTTAGGGAAAATTTTTTTTAATTGAAACAATTAAATTTAAGTCAAACATGAAAAGGGTTTTTAAAATGAAAAACATTTATTTTCTTTTAGAATTTTTGTAAATTTATGGAAAGAAACTTGTTCATTTTATTTACATTAATTATTTTTTTTATTTCAAAAATTTATTTTTCCCTAAAATTAAAATAAATTTAACAGTATATACAGTAACAGCAAAATTTTGGTTTTTCTACCCAATTTTTGTCGTACCTGTAAATTATACTGTTCAAAAAAGAATGATTAAGTGAACCTGAAAAACCTATATCCTTCATCAGTACCCTATATCCTGCGGCAAATCGTTCGCTTTTTAATCTGGGAAGACTTTTTGAAGGATCGCCCTTATTCCGCCCTGGGTGACAATAGTGCCCCCAAGTTGTCAGAGTCCTTGTAAGTATTATTTTTTTTGTTTTTGTAAAACAACGTAGTCGGAACCATTTTTTTGAGCGATTGAGTACCACTAGAGAGTGGATTTCAACCCGGGGGGGTGGTACCCTGATTGAAAACCATTTGAGGAAAATTTTTTCCCCCTCGCTTGCCCCACCTGAACATCCTACTATGGCGAATTCCGGATGTCTTTGCTTAAACACCTGAGTACCTGTCTCTGACCAACGGAGTTATGGCCGTTTGTTCATATGCCGAACACATACCTATAGGAAAAGAAAGGATTTTCAACTTTTATCCATGTTAAAACGAAAAAATTGAACTGTCTCCAGGACAGCCATATACTAATGCTAGGCTGTGACGAAGCAGCGATCATTCCTTCCTGGGAGAAGTTGGTACTTGTAACATAACAGCAAAAACTGTTAGATGAATTATGAACACTGAATATTTCTTATTATCAACATGATTTGTTCTAAGTGATAGATTCCATATATTTTTACGATTAGTGTTAATATAGTTCACTGACAGAACATATTATACCATTGAGAAGGTAAATTATTTTCTTTTTCAGCTTTAATAGCTGGTTTGTTAGCTGTGTGCTTGAGTCTGTTGGTGGAGAAGCTGGGAAGCATCTACCAGGTATCCAGTAGCATCCTCTCCTCCATTGCCAGCCCGCTTTCTGGTATCTTTATTATAGGAATATGCGCTCCGTGGGTTAATGGAAAGGTAGATAATAGTTTTTTTTTCTGATTCATATTAAATTAGAAAAAATAATGCACAGTTAAACATTTCTGTAAATGTAACCTGCAGCAGCTGCTATGTATATGATTCTAACTTACCATTGCTGGTATAACTTTATCCTGGTTGTTGTCTATGAGCACCATAGATACTGTATGATGATAGATAGCGTATTAGTGGATATAAATGAATATTATGCTTTGTTTGGTTATCGAAAGCCAAATCTTAATAATTTATTACTCTTGTATTCCTATAATAATGTGATTAATGCAAATATTCTATAAATTCAAAGTTTGTCCACTAAAAAATTATTTATAAAGTTCATAATTATTGATGTTGGTGTCAGGGCGCCATCGTGGGGTTCGTCGTGTCCTTCGTTTTTAATGTCTGGGTAGTTATTGGTAAGTTTGTGCGAGGCGGTGGAGCACCAACACGCCTTCCTCTCTCCACTGAGGGCTGCCCAGAGAACCTCTTCCTTCTCCTTAACACCACCATCGTCAGCAACGTCTCAGTGACTGATGATGTGCTGACTACCACCACACTGACTGCTACTGAACTACCCATCTCTACTGTTACTCAGGGGTCAGTATTCTCAAAACATTTATTAGCCAGGCCACACGCTGATTTATCTGCCTATTAATAAGTTCAATTTTATAAAATTTTTTCCAACGACCTTTGGCTGAAAAAGACAAAATACAGAGCAAAATTTATATTGTTACGCCTGTACAACAGCGGTTTTCAAAGCAAAACGATTTCTCAATGAAAATGTCTGTTGTGGAAAATTACATTTATCTGAATGTATCATTATGTACATAACAGTAAATGAACAAAGATAATTATTATTTATCAGTTAGGCAAGTAGGAATTTGGGACACCTAGGTCGTAAAAAATGTCCCCCTTCGATACCTACCACTCATATCCACAAGTTGCTCTGGACCTATTAATTATAAATGAAATATACATACACCAGAAATTCTGGTAAATACATAAATTTGTGGACTGTATATTAAAATTAATAAATGATTATATATATATACACATTTATATAACAGAAGGAGAATATGTCTTAATCAAAACACTCACCAATTTGACTGGAGATTAATGCGTCATGTACAGGACCCTATCCCCCTTTTGCCTATATTTATGAAAAATTTACTGGCCAGAATTTAAACATAAATTAGACAGCTTATCTGAGGTTCCTGGAGTTGTCCTGTCCTGTCGCCTGATACTCAAATTATGCAGGAATGCACATCCAACAATTTTGGCTCCTATTTGAGAGGAGTCAGCCCAATTTTAACCTCTAGAGCACGAAAATTCTTCCGATTTCACTAAATTTCTGTTGACCAGTTCAAACAGCAATGGCGAGTGTCCTTCTGCGCAGGCGCCGGGTTTCCCATTTTCAATAACATACTTATTTTAAATACAGTATGGCCATCTATTTACATATAACTACTGTATTTATTGAAAATATATACAATGTTTTCCACACTGCGGCCGGCCGGAGTTCGTTGCTAAACAACTCAAATTGCTCATTTGGCAATGGTGGAGGACCTGAGTACATATAGGATCTGGCATCCACATGGCGACATATTACACAAGATTTAATCACCCTTTTTACACTTTGCCATCATTGTGGAATCCAGAAAGTTTCCCTAATACAATTGAAGGCATCTTGTACCCCACCATGCATTACATTTTTATGGGCATTTAGAACAATTAAATTTGTTAGATGATGAGTTTTGGGCAGTAAGATAGGGTGTTTAGCATAATCACCCAATTCAGCATTTTGTAACCTACCTATGCACCTAATTACATTGTTCTCTAAATACAGCCCCAATTTCTCTATTATGGAACTTTTCACAATTTTTCTTTCCATCATCAGTTTAATCTCATTTCCATAGATTTCCTCCTGTACCCTCTTTATCCAATATTCAACAGGATGTGAAAACTTATATGAAATATTCATCTTGTTTAGAAATTTAAACACCAACTTAGTTACATTGATTAGTTTGGGTAAAGAGGAATACCTATTTATATCAATGGCTAAGGGAGGACAAACTATTGGAGTGGTGGTCACAGTAATTTCAACAGGAGCAATATACGCCTTTTGTACAGGCCAATTAGCTTTATTTACCAACCAGCTCGGTCCTTTAAACCATGATACTGCATTTACAAATTTAGCATAAGGTAAACCTTGAGACAAGAAATCAGCTGGTTTCTCCTCACCAGGTATATGATTAAATGTTAACATATGCTGACCCAAACTATTATAATTCTCTTGCATCTGATTAATTTCAGCGACTCCGTTTTGTACGTACACAATTTTACTGTTTCCATTACGAATCCATTGTAAGGATACCTCATTATCAGACCAAATTACAGTGTCGCTAATATTTATCTCCTGCAACTTATTTCTTATATAATTAGCTAATTTGACACCTACATAAATGGCTGTTAATTCCAACTGAGGTAAGGTACGTGATTTAATTGTAGACACTTTAGCCTTAGACAAAACAAGAGAAATAACACTATTACATTGAGGGTAAGCAACTGCTCCATATGCCAATTTTGAAGCATCACAAAAAATGTGGAGTACATTTTTTTCCCATTTGGATTGGCCACCTGGCGTCGGAACTCCAACATTGGAATTTTTTCATAATCACCAATTAATTCATCCCACCTGTTAATGAATTCCTCAGGTAGAATTTCATCCCAAGCACATTTAAGTTTCCATGCTTCCTGTATTAATAATTTCCCTCTTATAGTAAGGGGTGACACTAAACCTAGTGGATCAAAACATTTGGAAACTTCAGCAAGCAAAACTCTCTTAGTTAATTTATTGGGCATACTGTAATTATTAGGTTTTAACATTAACAAATCTCTCTCAGTATCCCAAGTTAATCCCAGTACATTACTACATTTTGGGACTTCATCTCCAGAGTAATCTTTACTTATTTTGTCCTTTAATTTGGACGAATTACTATTCCATTCCCTCAGAGGCAAATTTGCACTTTGCATTATTTTATTAGCCTCTCCATAAGTCATTAACAGTTCCTCTTCAGTTGACTTCACACCCAGGAAATTGTCCACATAAAATTGTTTGCCCATTACTTTACTCAATGGACTTCCCATACATTTAAGGTGTGCATTTATCGTTGCTTGAAGTGGAAACGGACTGGATGTAGCACCAAAAATACGCTCCTAAAGTGAAAGGTTTTCAGAGGGCTAAGTGGGTCACTAGGATTCTCAGGCCATAAGAAGCGGGTACAATCCCAATCAGCCTCTTGTAAACCCACTCTTAAGAAAGCTATACTTATGTCAGCCTTAAAGGCATAATTCTCCACCCTGAAATTTAATAAGATATCTCCTAATTTTTCCGTCAACGACGGACCTATCATCAAACAGTCAATTTTGTTACCCCTGGCACTACAATTAAACACGGAGTTGTCTTAGAATCCTTCTTCACTCTGTGATGTGGCAAATAGTGACCATAAATTTTGGCTTGCTCAGGAGGTACCTCTTCTATAAATTTATTAATTAATTGCTCAGCAATTATATCATTATTGGCAGTTAACAATTCTGGTGTCTTACTCAGTTCGCGGAGCTGAGCCTTTAACTGTCCATATGCCATTCTGTAATTAGTGGGCAATTCTGGATGGTTCAGTCTCCACGGAAGTCGTACCCAGTATTGTCCAGATTCAAATTTTACATCTCTCAGGTATTGTTCCTGAGTAAAAGAATCGTCTGGACTTTCTTCATTTACATTTATTCCAGTGCTGTCTAATTCCCACAATTTATGCACTGGCTCAACACCATCCTCTATGGAAGAATTATACGGGGCTACGATTTCATGAGTAAGGCACACAGTTATGGTATTTGTAGTTTCCTCTAGTCATGAATTATTATTATTAGGAATCCTACCATACATTACATGGCCTCCTGCAGTCTTCAAAAGGGTGACACCACATTTCTTTACCATACCCTTTACAAAGGAGGCATAATAGTCACTATCTATCAAAATATTTATTGGGCCTACAGAATCATCACTTACACCAGAAGGTCCTAAATTTACCTTATGTGAAAGTCTTTCTGTAGCTTTACTAAGTCCTACTGTAGTTATTTTCTCTGGAAGTCTATCTACAATTACTGCATTAACACGTTTTTTCTCATTGCCCAACCTAACAGTTACATAAACAGTGTCATACAATTGAGCCCTTTTATCCGAGAGAAAACCAGATAATTTTAAAGTTGTGGGATCTCCCATCTGTACTTTCATACCATCAAGACATTTACGTTTTATGAAAGTACGTTGGGATCCCTGGTCCAATAATGCATTTACATTTTTTGATTTATGCTTTATATCATCAATTTTTACCTGTAACACAGGTAAGGCTACTTCAGCAAAACCATCATTATTAATATTAGCAGCAATTTTTACATTAGCTACTGCTGTGTCAGGATTGTCAACATTATCATTATTATCAACATTAACATATAGACCCTTACACATGACTATATGGTGTCTTCCTTTGTGACATTGATAACAGAAGTTTAATTTGGCATAACGATCCTTTACATTGTGATTACCCAAACACCTGATACATCTGTCAAGTTCCTCCAATCTTTCAACTTTATCATTCCATGAATTGTATGCATTGCAATTCTTAGAAAAATGAGTACCCTTGCAGAAAAGACAATCTCTCTTTTCTTTGACTGGTTTCTCATTAACTGGGCTACCCTTAGGAGGGTACTTATTCTTCTTACCTTGTGGAGAATCATTATTTCTGATTCCTGCTACTTGATATGCACCTATGCAACTCTTTTCTGGAAATGAATTTTGATTATTAACATTGGGATAATTTTTCCCTTTATGAAACTTGACAGATACCTCAGAGTTATTATGTGTTGTATCTTTAAAATGAGTTAGTTGGGTGGTCTGCAACTGAACAATTAATTCTTGTAGATCTAGTCTTATTTCCTCCAGACCAAAATAACCCTTGTGATATTTGTTCGAGAGTCATTCAAGTGTTTTATAGTTTAATTTATTCTGTACAATGGCACTCGATAACCAATCTGATTCCTTCAGATTATATTTATTACTTAAAGTTTTGAGAGTGTTCTCCAGTTTAACTCTAAACTGCTGTAAACCTTTGTAAGTGTGATCTGGAGATTTTAAATTAACAATGATATTCACTAGATCCAACCTACTTTGTTCTATATTACCATAAGTGGCCTTCAACAAGTCAACTGCTTCCTTGTAAGAGTCATCTACATTGGGAAAGGCTTGTATGAGTATGTGAGCATCTCCTCTTACCTGTCCTTTGAGGTAAAATAATTTAGTTACTCAGGCAAGGTCACTTCTATCATGCACAGCTGCTTTAAAAATTAACCAAAATTCCTCCCAATTTTCACCAGGATTAAATACAGGTAAACATAATTCTGGGAGTTTTGGCAGACATATTATTTGTTGGAGCAGACTGATTAACTGCCTGGTTTACACATTTTAAATTATTCAAGGCCTGACTTTTACATGAAAGAATCTTTTCCTCTAATTCATAATACTGATTAATCATAAGATCTACTTCAGTCTCATCTACACAGTTTACTAACAAATCTCCTTCATATTTGTTGTAATATAATTTGTATGAATCATATCTATTACCTAAAGTATCTAAATACAATTTTAAATCGTCAATATTCACAGTTTCTTGATTCATTAATTCCAAACATTTATTGCATGCTTTTGTTACATGCCTTTTTCTAGCTTGCAGTGATGCTTTTTTTGCTCTATATTCCATATGTTTGTCTTCTACATTAATTTCCTCATTTTCAGCCATGATGCAATGTATTAAATTCAACTTAATAACACTGATTATGTACTAAATTATGCACTTTATGAAAGTAAATAGTACAACTTACCTTTGAATAAATCCTAGCTACTTGAGCTTAGCAATTACATGTAAGAAAATTACATAAATTTTAAATGTACATTAATACAAACCTTTAGCCAGCCTTGGCTTATCAAAATTATTATGCAAATTAATATAAATCTTTGCCAGAATCTGGCATAGCAAAATTAATATTATACACATTAATATAATTAGCAACACTTGTCTTATCAATTACACATACACTGATATAAATCTTGGCCAGAATTGTCTTGTCAAATTAGTATTATACAAATTAATATAAACTTAGCCAGACTTGACTTATCAAAATTAATATTATGCAATTAATATAAATCCTTGCCAGAATTTGGCATAGCAAAATTAATATTATACACAATATAATCTTTAGCCACCCTTGAGCTTAGCTTATCAAAATTAATATTGTAATAATTATAAACCACTACACTAAGTAAATTTGCGTATTTAACATCCACCTCCTTCTGTCATTTCACATATAATTATTAAGTAATTAACTAATTAATGACTTCACTAATTACCTCCGGTTCAAGAAGGACCAACGGGCAAATTAAATGTGGAAAATTACATTTATCTGAATGTATCAGTATGTACATAACAGTAAATGAACGAAGGTAATTATTATTTATCAGTTAGACAAGTAGGAATTTGGGACACCTAGGTAGCAAAAAATGTCCCCCTTCGATACCTACCACTGTCATATCCACAAGTTGCTCTGGACCTATTAATTATAAATGAAATATACATACACCAGGAATTCTGGTAAATATATAAATTTGTGGACTGTATATTAAAATTAATAAATGATTATATATATACACACATTTATATAACAGAAGGAGAATATATCTTAATCATAACACTCACCAATTTGACTGGAGATTAATGTGTCATGTACAGGACCCCCCCTCCCTTTTGCCTACATTGATGAAAAATTTACTGGCCAGACTTTAAACATAAATTAGACAGCTTATCTGAGGTTCCTGGAGTTGTCCTGTCCTGTCGCCTGATACTCAAATTATGCAGGAATGCACATCCAACAATTTCGGCTCCTATTTGAGAGGTGTCAGCCCAATTTTAACCTCTAGAGCACAAAAATTCTTCCGATTTCATTAACTTTCTGTTGACCGGTTCAAACAGCGATGGCGAGTGTCCTGCGCAGGCGCCGGGTTTCTCATTTTCGATAACATACTTCTTTTAAATACAGTATGGCCATCTATTTACATATAACTACTGTATTTCTGAAAAATATATACAATATTTTCCACATCTGTTCTGCATTTGTATATTTCATCCATCCTGTCACTCATCTGCCATCTGTCACCCACAATGACCTAACCTGACACACTCTAACCTGTCAATGTTTTCATAACTTGATGGAATAGGGAAACGTTTAGTACTTTTGCTGTGTACAATTTTATTTCTTCATTCGGTTAATTCCTTAAGCTGCATCCCTAAAGTGAAATTTGCTATTCACAACGTGTTTAGATCACGTTATTAAAACACACTATACTTCAAAGATTTATTGCAAACTCAGATCAGGTTTTACTCTGATCACATAAATGTTAAACGAGGACACAGTATATTACTAAATCGAACTTATATAGTATAGCCTAGACATATATATTTTCAAACTGACCCGAATTGGGCGGGAGGGTTCACTGGGTGGGCCAAGGCCCGGGTGGACCACGGTCTGGGTGGACCACGGCCCGGGTGGACCACTGGTGTTCTCCATGAGGTGATCCAGTGCAAATGGTGCCCAAAGAGCGAAAGTCTGCTTCCTCACCCTGCTCACCCATCCCATATCATCATAAGTTGGAGAGTGGAACTCATTATATTATTATTTGACCATATTCGTCACTTAGAATACTCTGTTATCATATAACTCACAGGAAATATATTTTTATTCCAGCGGCATAGCCAATGAAATAACACAAATACTGAAAAAAAAAATATTTAAAATAAAAATACAATACAAGCAAGAACTCACAAAGAATTCCATTCACAGATTCACATTATTACTAACATTAGGGTTGTTAATTACCTTTATAAATAATGCAATTAACTCCACCTACTAATGAACAACCAAACACGTCCCACCACTACCTCCCCCTCCCCTCCCCCTCCCTCCCCCTCCCTCCCCCCTCCCCACAATACAACCTTAGGTTAGGTTAGGTAAGGTTTGTCAGGAAACAGGGTAAGTGTTTCCTGATTCGGCTCATGTGATGACCCGCAGCTGGAGCTTTTCAGTCATCTGACCGAGGCCTTCCACTGGCTTACTGGGCCACCCCTCTCAAAATTATGGTTATGATTGTAACTATTTATTGTTGTACCCGTACCAAACAACCCTCATGATTTTTCCTTCATTCTGAAACATGTTACATCATGTAGAATTACCGACAATATGTAAGGTAAAAAGGACACGCGTGCAACTAATGACATTTTATTGTGGCAACGTTTCATTCTTCAGGAGCTTTGTCAAGCCGTTATGTAACGGCTTTCTTTATTATTAAATTATTGTAAACTTATATAAAATGTATTTAGTTGGGTTAGGCTAAAATGAATTGTTCTTCTTATAATAAGGTTAAGTAAATAACAAAAAAGGCACAATACCGTGACTGGTCCAAGTCGGACCGAAACGTCGTCGTAAGCTTCTCTCTTTTATGTGCGGGTTATTTGTGTAAGGTTAGGTAAGTTTTCTAAAATTCTTTTGGTGCAAAATCATAAATTTTTACATCAATATTAATGAAAACAATATATCTTTAAACGTATAAGAGAAAATTTTAGAAAATACTTATTTTTAAATGAGTTCTTGCTAATTGACCAGTTTTACATATTCGGCACGATATATATATAATATATATATATATATATATATATATATATATATATATATATTATATATATATATATATATAATATATATATATATATATATATATATATATATATATATATATATATATATATATATATATATGTGTGTGTGTGTACTCACCTAGTTGAGGTTGCGGGGGTCGAGTCCGAGCTCCTGGCCCCCGCCTCTTCACTGATCGCTACTAGGTCACTCTCCCTGAGCCGTGAGCTTTATCATACCTCTGCTTAAAGCTATGTATGGATCCTGCCTCCACTACATCGCTTCCCAAACTATTCCACTTACTGACTACTCTGTGGCTGAAGAAATACTTCCTAACATCCCTGTGATTCATCTGTGTCTTCAGCTTCCAACTGTGTCCCCTTGTTACTGTGTCCAATCTCTGGAACATCCTGTCTTTGTCCACCTTGTCAATTCCTCTCAGTATTTTGTATGTCGTTATCATGTCCCCCCTATCTCTCCTGTCCTCCAGTGTCGTCAGGTTGATTTCCCTTAACCTCTCCTCGTAGGACATACCTCTTAGCTCTTGGACTAGTCTTGTTGCAAACCTTTGCACTTTCTCTAGTTTCTTTAAGTGCTTGGCTAGGTGTGGGTTCCAAACTGGTGCCGCATACTCCAATATGGGCCTAACGTACACGGTGTACAGGGTCCTGAATGATTCCTTATTAAGATGTCGGAATGCTGTTCTGAGGTTTGCTAGGCGCCCATATGCTGCAGTGTGTATGTGTGTGTGTGTGTGTGTGTGTGTGTGTGTGTGTGTGTGTGTGTGTGTGTGTGTGTGTGTGTAATTTATTAATTAAACTCGAGTGTAGTTGTGTTGGACTTACATGGTCAGTAGTTTTCCTTTGTACATCTGAATTAAAAGAAAAAGACTCGCCTGAGGCCTAGATTCCCATAGTTTATCTCTGTTCATGTAAATTTGGTTGAGAACTCAAAAACAGTAAATTACTGAGTGTACACCTCCACAGGTCTGCAGATAATACTATCTACGAGGTGTCCTACTGCTATTCTGGCGCTATTGGCATCATCATAACATTTGTAGTCAGCAGCATCGTCTCTCTCTGTACTGGTGAGATTATTGTCACTCGTTTGTAACTGAGCCTTAAGCACTTTTGTGTGTTTTGTTTTCCTGTCTTATAGAACACATACATTATTTTTAGTTTTCTTAGGTTGTCCAGATATTTTAACCAATGGTTAATAATCCGAAGAAAGTCTTCTTCAACAATAAAGTAAAAGATATCCTGGCGAATATTTTATTTTTTCCAGGCGCAGTCAACCCTAAGGATACAGAAGGTACTGTTAATCCACTCTGTGGCAGGCTGTACCACTGTGTGTGGTCGTTCTTCAATAGTTCATCGCACCTACAGTGTAGAAACCATTAAGGAAGAGGAGTCGTTCAAGATGTTACCATCGACAGCCTTATCACAGCCTATTATTAGTCATTATAAAGAGCCAAAAAACTCTCTCTCAGTTACCACATACAACCTCGACACTCCCTCTTAGTAGTCATAAGTGCAGCCTTCCTCATGGGTTATGCTGGGAATATGAAGCACAGTAAATGATGAACTTGTTCAGATGAATAAGAGAGTGTGTATTTCTGTAAAAATAAAGTCTGCAGTTACGTTTTAAACTAAATTTCAAAATTGTTTTGAATCCTTGGTGATTTTTTCATTTTTTCTAATTTAGCTTTTTTAACAAGGATTTAATGAGGCTCCGAATAAAAATTTCGCAGGATAGTGGCAGTGTTTGATGTGCACAGACCTCATACACACTTCCATTTTCGTTTTAAATCTTCAGGCAGCAAACTCGATATAATCCGGACGAGCTTGTTCAGCTCCATGAACTTAATTGAATCCCTCATTCGGCCAATGCTGTAACACATGCAATAATTAACTAGTGTTCTTTATATCATATCAAATATTAGATGTTTGTTTCAAAACGTTTTCAGTTTTATGTGGTACACTTCTATAACACACACTAGATATCTATATATATTATATATATATTATATTATATATATATATATTAATATATAAATAATTATATAATATATAATATATATATATATCTTATATTATATATAATATATATATATATATAATATATAATAAAATGCAAAACAACCACTCTGAAAGAATAGAGAAAATAATTTTAAATTTTCTTGGGTAGAATAGCTATGGGGGTGAGTTTTGCAAAGGACCTACCAAGTTGGCTCGCGCGCGTTTTTTACGTGTTTAACCGTTGTGGGATCTGATAGTGAGGTGCTGGCCGGACCCCTTATATAGCTTCCTTTGGGTGCTTCACTTTCATAGTTCCTTGATAATGTGAGTAGTCACGAAAGCGCTTGGAATTTCTCTATTCTTTCAGAGTGGTTGTTTTGCATATTTTGAAATCACCTGTTTACTGTGATCTTATTGCATATATATATATATAATATATATATTAATATATATATATATATATATTATAATATATATATATATATATATATATATATATAAAATATAATATATATATATATATGCCTATGTATAGCATGCTTTAAGTTGTTATATATCATGTTATCTCCGTTCACAGTCATTAGTAAATCATGTTCAAGTTTATAATACACATTATGTTATTTCTACTTAAATTTGGAACCTTCTAGTTATTATGCAAAATATTTTATATTATGCTTGATATAATTTATTATCGTTTTGAGAAATTCTATTGTGCAATAAAGAGAAAAACCTCTTAACAATGTTGTCAGTTACCTGGTATGAGTGTTGAAGACCACGTCCTTCACTACGACCATCCCTGTGACACTACTCAAAGGACATTTCTTATTTTGTGGACGGCAAAGATTAAGTCTTAAGGATTATATAATATAGTAAGAATTGGGAGACTAATTAGAGTAACTATGTATTATGTTTCCGTGTTATGTTGGATGACATTCTCTATTACCTACATGAATAGTTAACGGTCCTGTCAGATAGTGTCAAGAAAATATGCGCAAATTTAACCTAGTGAGATGCTTACTATAAGAGTGTAGGAATATTTAATGATGAGTAACACTTATGCAATGTTTGGTAACTTTATTACGGAAACTTTTCTCCCACCAGGCGCTCTGTGAATCAAATACAGAAATTGAGAAAAAAAAATATACGGGGAAATATATAGAAGTGTGAATGTGGGTTAACCCTAGGCAGGCAGTGTCCCCATGTCCTAAATTTGTGTAGCCAAAACTGTGGATATAACGAAGCTCTTATATTCTGCAGCTGTACTGCCAAGGCTAATGAGAGCAATACTTACAGAGGAGCTTGACAACGTTGGTGGCGCTGGCATCACTGAGGCGATGGAAGTAAGGGCGATCCTTCAAGAAGTCTTCCCAGATTATACAAGCGAATGAGTTGTCACAGGACGATAGTGTACTATTGGAAGATACAGATGTTCAGGGTCATACAATGTATTGATTGTGGGTAGAGTAACCTCTATGCCTCTATGTTGAGGCATAGAGGCATAGAGGCATAGAGGTTACTCTACCCACAAGGAACAACCTGGATTTGTTTACTCGCACATATTTTGTGATTTTTTAAAATAAATATTTGGTTCTGGAATTGGCATTCAAGGATCTGTAAATAAAAAAAAAACTGTGAATGGACGACAACACCTTTAACCAATCAATTGATTAAAACTGGACAAATGAATGCGTGTTGCAAATATTTGCTCTGGTCATTGTTTCAGCTTCATATTTATTTGACAAAATAAAAATATTTTTTTTAATGTTTGCTCCATTTCGTCCGGTATCATGAAATGTTTATTAACCATATTCTCATAGATCTCAGAAGGAATAAAAATAACTGTTTATGACGCAGTTCTGGTAAAGTAAAGATGGTAGGTGATCATGAATATTAATTTATTAAAAAACAGTAATATAAATGCATTATTAAAAGTCTATCTAGGCTGGAATATTGCTGCACACTAACAGCACCTTTCAAGGCAGGTGAAATTGCTGACTTAGAAAATGTACAGAGAACCTTCACGGCGCGCATAACGGAGATAAAGCACCTCAGTTACTGGGAGCGCTTAAAGTTCCTGAACCTGTATTCCCTGGAACACATGCGGGAGAGATACACGATTATATACACCTGGAAAATCCTAGAGGGACTAGCACCGAACTTGCTCACGAAAATCACTCACTACGAAAGCAAAAGACTCGGCAGACGATGCAACATCCCCCCAATGAAAAGCAGGGGTGTCACTAGCACGTTAAGAGACAACACAATAAGTGTCTGTGGCCCAAGACTGTTCAGTTGCCTCCCAGCATACATAAGGGGGATTACCAATAGACCCCTGGCTGTCTTCATGCAGGCACTGGACAGGCACCTAAAGTCGGTACCTGACCAGCCGGGCTGTGGCTCGTACGTTGGATTGTGTGTAGCCAGCAGTAACAGCCTGGTTGATCACGCCCTGTTCCATCATGAGGCCTGGTCGCAGACCGAGCCGCGGGGGCGTTGACCCCAGGAACTCTCTCCAGGTAAACTCCAGGAGAAAGTGGCGGCAGGTACTAACAGTAGCACACACTAATCCTTACTGGTACACTAACAATGTTTACATCAGGGCTGTGCCAACTCTGTGAAATGTACAAAAGAGCGGGTGGTACCTAAGACCGAAACTGTTGAACAAACATACACACAAGTTCAACGATGAGAAATTTCAATTACTACGATATGGTAAACATGAGGAAATTAAAACTTCATCAGATTACAAAACAAATTCCGGCCACAAAATAGAGCGAAAGACCAACGTCAAAGACCTGGGAGTGATCATGCCGGAGGATCTCACCTTCAAGGACCATAACATTGTATCAATCGCATCTGCTAGAAAAATGACAGGATGGTTAATGAGAACCTTCAAAACTAGGGATGCCAAGCCCATGATGACACTCTTCAGGTCGCTTGTTCTATCTAGGCTGGAATATTGCTGCACACTAACAGCACCTTTCAAGGCAGGTGAAATTGCTGACCTAGAAAATATACAGTGTCAGGGGCCCGAGACTGTTTAACTGCCTCCCAGCATACATAAAGGGGATTACCAATAGACCCCTGGCTTTCTTCAAGCTGGCACTGGACAAGCACCTGAAGTCGGTACCTGATCAGGCGGGCTGTGGCTCGTACGTTGGATTGCGTGCAGTCAGCAGTAACAACCTGGTTGATCAGGCTCTGATCCACCATGAGGCCTGGTCACAGACCGGGCCGTTGGGGCGTTGACCCCCCGAGCTCTCTCCAGGTAAACTCCAGGTAAACACACACACACATAGTTACCATTTTGTCCTAGGCACATGTCGATTCGACACTAGGCCTGTTGTATATGAGTGCGTGTGCGTGCATACGTGGAGTGTGTGTCAGAGGCTGCAAAAGTAATTCAAGGAAAAGGATCGTGAGCATCATACCGAGCACAACTGGTAAGGCACACAACAACCAAGTACTGCTGCTGCGTATGAGCGCCTGGCAAACCTGAGAATAGTGTACTCACCTAGTTGTACTCACCTAGTTGAGGTTGCAGGGGTCGAGTCCAAGCTCCTGGCCCCGCCTCTTCACTGGTCGCTACTAGGTCACTCTCCCTGAACCATGAGCTTTATCGTACCTCTGCTTAAAGCTATGTATGGATCCTGCCTCCACTACATCGCTTCCCAAACTATTCCACTTCCTGACTACTCTGTGGCTGAAGAAATACTTCCTAACATCCCTTTGATTCATCTGTGTCTTCAGCTTCCAACTGTGTCCCCGTGTTGCTGTGTCCAGTCTCTGGAACATCCTGTCTTTGTCTACCTTGTCAATTCCTCTCAGTATTTTGTAAGTCGTTATCATGTCCCTCCTATCTCTCCTGTCCTCCAGTGTCGTCAGGTTGATTTCTTTTAACCTCTTCTCATAGGACATACCTCTTAACTCTGGGACTATTCTTGTTGCAAACCTTTGCACTTTCTCTAGTTTTTTTTACATGCTTGGCTAGGTGTGGGTTCCAAACTGGTGCCGCATACTCTAATATGGGCCTAACGCACACGGTGTACAGGGTCCTGAACGATTCCTTATTAAGATGTCGGAATGCTGTTCTGAGGTTTGCCAGGCGCCCATATGCTGCGGCAGTTATTTGGTTGATGTGCGCTTCAGGAGATGTGCCTGGTGTTATACTCACCCCAAGATTTTTTTCCTTGAGGGATGTTTGTAGTCTCTGGCCCCCTAGACTGTACTCCGTCTGCGGTCTTCTTTGCCCTTCCTCAATCCTCATGACTTTGCACTTGGTGGGATTGAAATCCAGGAGCCAGTTGCTGGACCAGGTCTGCAGCCTGTCCAGATCCCTTTGTATTTCTGTCTGGTCTTCGATCGAATGAACTCTTCTCATCAACTTCACGTCATCTGCAAACAGGGACACCTCGGAGTTTATTCCTTCTGTCATGTCGTTCACAAATACCAGAAACAGCACTGGTCCTAGGACTGACCCCTGTGGGACCCCGCTGGTCACAGGTGCCCACTCTGACACCTCGCCACATACCATTACTCGCTGCTGTCTTCCTGACAAGTATTCCCTGATCCATTGCAGTGAATTCCCTGTCATCCCTTCTTGGTCCTCCAGTTTTTGCACTAATCTCTTGTGTGGTACTGTGTCAAACGCCTTCTTGCAGTCCAAGAAAATGCAATACACTCACCCCTCTCTCTCTTGTCTTACTGCTGTCACCATGTCATAGAACTCCAGTAGGTTTGTGACACAGGATTTCCTGTCTCTGAAACCATGTTGGCTGCTGGTGATGAGATCATTCCTTTCTAGATGTTCCACCATTCTTCTCCTGACAATCTTTTCCATGATTTGCATGCTAAAACATGTCAGTGACACTGGTCTGTAGTTTAGTGCTTCATGTCTGCCTCCTTTTTTAAAGATTGGGACCACATTTGCTGTCTTCCATGCCTCAGGCAATCTCCCTGTTTCGATAGATGTATTGAATAT